CTGGCTCTTCGCACACAGGGTTCTGCATGGACCTCTCCAAGTGCTTCAACCTGATACCACGCTGCCCAGCCACTGCCATCCTTGTCCAACTGGGCCTCCCAATTGAGCTTGTAAACACGTGGCTGCAAAGCGTGGCCAAGGTTCGCAGACTTTTCCAGGTTAAAAGCAGCCTTAGTGTGCCCCTGCCCTGCACAACAGGAGCCCCCCAAAGAAAAAAATGCTTTCAGCATCTGTATTATGTTGGGTATCGCCTACGCCTTCGTCCACCATATATCTCTCCCAGACATCACACCAAGTGCCTTTGTAGATAATTGGGGATGGCACGGTCCCCCTGAGGCTCCACATGGCATGGCCATGCAACATACCATCCAGCTTGTAAACTCTCTAGCCTTGCGCATTGATTTGAGCAAGAGCTGGGCGTGGCAGATAGGTATCTCGGAAAGTGACAGCCCCTGGGAGGATATCTCAGAGTCATGCTTCGGCTCGAGCAGTGACATTGCTGTTGTATCTCACGCCAAAGACCTTGGAGCCATTTTCCGTTTTGACAGGAGGATGAGGTTAGGCGAGCATAAGGACCGCCTCAGTAAGGGCACGCGCATCATCCAGAGGGCTGGCAAGCTCCCCCTCGGGTTTGAGGCCCGTGCAAAACTTATCCGCACCTCTGCATTTCCTGCATCCATGTATGGGGTCGAACTCCTGGCTGTAGGAAGGAAACGGTTCCACGAACTTCGCCAGCAGGTCAGTGCCACATTGTGCAACAAACGTAAGCATGCCAATGCATGGATTGCTGCAAATTTCCTCACAGCCAAGCCTTGTGACCCGGAACTGTACGCTATCCAACAGGCTATCAGGCATGCCAGGCGTTTCCTTCAAAGTGCGTCGCCTGGTACCAGCAATACCTTTCTGGAAATTGCGGCCTGCCATTCAGGCATCGCAATGAAAGCATGTGGCCCAGCCTCTGTGCTGAAGACATACCTCAATAGGATAGGGTGCAACATCAGTAGGTCCGGCGACTTGCTATTTGCTGAGAGCAGCCCTTTGTCACTCACTCTTGACCCTCTCCCAGCTATCGCGCGCAGGGTGCAGCTAGAATGGGGATCAAATGTCCTCCTCGAACTTAATACCCGCGATGAGTGGTGTAGGCTGCCCCATGTTGACTGTGCAGCCACAACCTCAGTTATGCAAAAGTTCCCTGAGGGTGAAAGAAGATCCCTAGCATGGCACATGTGCGGCTCATTCATGAGCGCAGTAGAAAAGGCACGGTGGCAGGAAGGAGAAACGGGCCTGTGCCCAATGTGTCAGAAGTGTAAAGACTCGCTCCACCACCAATTCTGGGTGTGTCCAGAACTTGCCAACCTGCGAAGTGAATTTCAGAACACCCTGGATGTGGTCGAGGAATCTTTCCCCTCATGGACTCACTTCCCCTTTATACCTGCCCCGCCTGAAGCATGGTTCCATGCTGAACTGGTGCAAGCTAGGAAGCCCTTTCGCACGGATGACCTCCCTGAGCTTGCGCCTTGTCCCACGGCAAGGAGGGTGTTCTACACCGACGGTAGCTGCCTCTTCCCAACTGATCCTTATGCACGGGCTGCAGCAGGTGCAATTGTCCTTGACACCAGCCCCACCCGTGCTTACTGGAGAAATGGAGATATGCCCCAAAGCTTGCAGTGCATCCTGTGCACAGAGGTCTATGGAGAACAGAGCATCAACCGCGCAGAACTCCTCATGATTGTGCTGTGCCTTGAACTAGATGCCCAAGCTGAAGCGCGAACTGATAGCAAATACGCCGTCTCTTTATGGAATCGGGTCAAGCATGCTGGTTCGACCTTGACTCTCTCGAAGCTCGATAATAGTGATCTCCTCTGCCGCCTTTGGCATGTGGCGCAGGAAGGAGCGCAAAATGTTATCCATGTGAAAGCCCACCGAGAGCCTAGCCGCAGCATGCCCGCAGACCTTGTGTTCGATGTCCTCGCCAACCGCCTTGCCGACGCTTGTGCAAAAACTGCTGCGAGAACCAGTATACGCATGTACGCTGAAAGCCTTACCGCTCAGGCCGCTTGGAGGATAGGCACACAAGAACTCTTCCATGAATGGTGTCCAGGTTCACCGTAGAATGCATGCAGCCAGTAAAGCTGCACAGCTCACCAGAGCCCCGGACTCCACTCCTCAACCGACTCTGCATACAAGCCCGCATGAGCAACTTGCACAGTGGACCTGCCCGGAGGCAGTATGGAAACCACCCCAAGTTGACCTTGGTGCATACGAAGCTGATGCATTTCTGTGGGGTTCAGGTTTTGGTCTTGCCTTGTGGAAGTGGTGGAAGGCTATCATTTGGCCTGCTCATGCCGAGCCTGGCCCCGATGACCCGGGGGTCTCTTATCTCGAGCTGCTATTCGACTTCCTCTTGACCACAGGCCAGTGGATTCCTCTGCGCACGGGCATTGGTGCTGACATTAGGTACCATAACCCGCTCCACTACCCAGCCCTACAGAGTGCACCGAGACCTTTCCGTTCGCAAACGCAAGCGCTAGAGGCATGCCTGCGGCAGTTGCAAACTGTGATGGGTAGGCAGATCCACCCCCCTTGCAAAAAAGGCCCCGTCCGTAGCCTGCGCGTCTTGGGTAGCACAGGACGGGGGCAACGAGGTTTTGTCACCAGACCGCAACTGCCCATGCAGGGCCATCTTGTGAACATTGTTCGACAGTACAATACGGCGAAGCATCCTCTCTGCGAAGCAGATTTGAGGGCCCTTTTCCCAGCCGAGTGCCTTCTCTTTCAGTCGTCCGATGAAGGCGCAGAAAGCGCCAAACAAGCCAGAATTCGTTTTCGGAAATACGCCAAGATCGTGCACCGTGCACGCTTCTAGGCCTTTGTCTTGGGCTTCGGCCCGCCGCTCTTGTCCGAGCCTGCTTATGCGGGGCCCGGAGCAAGCGAGGATTCTGCTCGACAAGCGTGCCACTAAACCACTAAAAGTTATTCACTTTTAGCCGCAGGGGAGCAGATTTCGCAACCGAGTCAAGGGCAGCTTAGGCCCTCCCACTATTCCATGCAAGCCCATGTGGTATCCAAGAAGCCGACAATCTAACTTGGACCCCTGGAATTGGCTGTGGTCAAAGCCGTTTTGGGATCCCAATTTGGGGTACATACGTACATACATACATACATACATACATAAGGAGTATAGAATTAGTAGGTGAATTCACCACCCATTTTTCCTATTTTAGTGGTTTGATTGGGATGTTCACTGGGGCTACGATGTGGATTTTGACCCATGGCCAAATCATCAAATTGTCCTGGTGGCAACGCCGTGGAAAAGCCTGCACCGGATGTTTTGGACATCGCGGCGCACCTGAAGCCCTAAACCTTAAGCCCTAAACCCGTTATCCCCAAAACCTAAACCCTCAACCCCCAGCCCTAAAACTTACACCCACACTAAACTGGGGATGGTTGCGAAATCCAGTTCGCACCTCCTAAGAGACCCTGGAAGGATGACTTCCCTGTAACTTGACTGCTATCGGGTTGAATCTTTGGACTTCAACTTTTTGGGAAATCAAGGAGGTTTCCATTAAACCCACAAAAAAATCAACTTTTTGCAGAGGGGCCAAAAGCAACCAAGGTAAATACCAACAAGCAATGGTTTCCGATGGTGTCAAAGTGGCGCAGGATTCGTTCATCCACAGTAGGGATCATGTTGACGAGGGACCCGGTTCAAATGGGTGTGGCTCAAAAGCATGTACCAACATGGCGGCTTGATAAATGGAACCAAGGCTAAAGCCTGCGTAACCGTGTTTGTTTTTCATTTTGAGCCACATCTGGTGTACTCCACAACCAAGAATGAGCTACTCCTTCATTCTTGGTTTGGGTTGTTTGTTTGGATTCTGCACATAAGATGGTCCTTCGGTGCAAGCGAAGTCCAGTCCATTGAGAAGTATGTTTCGATCTATAGCTCATAGGTGTGGATGGTTTTGGAGTTGGTACCCCTTGTTGTTTGGCCTTAAAGGGAAGCATAAACACGAACAGAGCCATTTTAGGGTTCCCCAAATTTGAAACAATCTGGCGACGCCATCCGCAGTAGGTTCTCTTTAAACAAGACAGAACATATCAACCAAGTCCATTTCAGTAAATGGGCCACAGGGTTTCTCACCCTGTAAACCCAGGAACCTGGCTGGTTACCTGTACTGGTAGCTGGGCTTTCAGGTTCTGCCTCGTCTCAGTACGGAGTGCCTGAAGTGGTGGATACAAATCCCCACCGAGCAACACTCTGAGAATGGACCCGTTGGAGGTGCAAATGCGCACTGCCAAAGCCGAGGACCACATCAGCTTTTGCATGCACCTGGCGCGGGTGCAAGCTGAATCTGGACGACGGTTTTGCACGGAGCACCCGGCCGGGGCAAGCCCCTGGAAGCTGCCAGTGGTTCAGGACGTGCTCGACAATGTTCCCGGAGCAATGCGAATCACCTTTGCGCAGTGTCGGTACGGGCTCCGGGGACCTGGTGGCAGGCTGATGAGAAAGTACACCTTCCTCACCAACACGCCGAGTGTGATCACGGAGTTCCGGGGCAAAACTTGCCAGTGTGCCCGCAGTGGTGAAACAATCGAAGGCACTGTCGACGGGGCACGGGGCGAATTCCTGCACCACCTAAGAGGCCCTGGAATGATCATTCCCTTGTAAATACCAGCAAATACTGGTTTTCCATGGTATCAAAGTGGTGCAATATTTTGTCCTTCCGCAGTATCACTGCTAAACATAAGGTTTTTTTCCTTTGACTTATGCCAATGGGAGTTGGTTCCCTACGAAACACCAAGGTGAATGGAATTACTGCTGGCCCCTTTCTTTAGCAGGGCTCCTTATAAGATACGTTTGAAACATGTTGCTTTTTGCACCAAGATGACGGGACACCACCACGTACAAGGCAATCTTCAGGTGTATAATGCAAGGATCCCTGTCTTTCGGCACCCCAACCGGTTCCCTCGTCTTCGGCGGTTTTTCGTCCGAGGAGATGGCGCAGCTGGTCTGCGGCAGCGAGCAGATCGCCGAGTGCTGGGAGGAAAGGGAGCAGGCGCGCTCCGTCTCTCGCTCTCCAAGTCTCCGAGCTCCCCCAGCTAGGTGCCCCCCAAACCTCCGAGCGGCTCCAAAGGGAAGCTGAGTGGAAGGTACTAGGCCCCCCAGCTAGGTGCCAACTTTTGCTGTTTCTTTTTGGGGTGGAGGGTTCGGGACCCTACCAAAGTAGACTGCGGCAAAACGAAAGGGTACCCTTATTCTAAACTCTCTACTGGAGGACCTAGTCTCTCTCTCTCTCTCGCGCGTTGTGTGTCTTGTCGTGGTTGGTTATGTCCTTGTCGTGGTTGGCAAACATGCCCCTCCTGCTCTCTCTCTCTCTCTCTCTCTCTCTCTCTCTCTCTCTCTCTCTCTCTCTCTCTCTCTCTCTCTCTCTCTCTCTCTTTCTCTTTGCCCACTTTGCTTTTTGTTGCTGAAATGAATATTAGTTTATGTCCTCTTGAGGGAAACCAGGGGGATGTTGTTTCTTGGGGTCATTCCATTTCTCATTCCCTGCTGAGCACCAGCAAGGTAAATACCATTGTTTTGCTGAAATGAATATGCTCTCATATTTTCCCCTGTTGGCTTTAAAGGGATCTATCACATGAAGCACATGTAGGTAAATATTCCTATGGGCTTGTAAGACTGAGTGATGACCTTCTATTTGCAGAAATGACTATTTTCCCCCGGTAGAGGGATTCGCATTTGGACATGTTTTCTCATTTCTTGACAGGGGACAAAAACGCAAATGGAGGTTTGCCCAACGAGTCGGCTTCGCAACGCGAGATGCTCTTCCTGCTTTGGTTTGTTGCGGCTGGCGCTTCATGCTGGCTTCGGAGCCACCAGCACGGCTTTGGCGCGGAACACAAAACGCCGGGAGATGAGAAGGTCATGATGCACCGAGTTTTCGGCTTCTTTAGGTCTCCCTTACGTTCTTTAGGAGTTGTATGGAATTGTTATAAGCCGAGAAGCCTGGACATCTAGAGGAGATCAGCCTCTTTTGGGTGGGTATTGCGGAACTATTTTTGCTTTTTCATAGGGCTGAATGGTGTTTGTGACCCCCAGCTTCCCTCATTCCTTCAGAGCCAGCCTTCTCACCCGAAACAAAATGGGGGTAGACCCCCATTCTCAGGCAGAACTTCAGGAGACTCCAAAACCCTCCACGAAGAGCTTCTCCATTTTTTCTGGTTTCTCTCTGCCCCACTTATTCCCGAACAGGTTTCCCTCATTCCCGAAGCAGAACCCGGAAGTTTTGTTTGGGCGTCGAGTTTTGTTGGGAGTTCAAGCAACTTTTCAGGTAAGTAGGTTTCCTGGCAGGGGGAACCAACCAACTTTGCAGGAAAGTTGGTTAAAACAAAAGCTAGCTTTTTATCACAGGGGGACTACCTCCAGTTACCCCGGCCCCCGCGCCAACCTGGAACCCTCAAAGGCCCTCAACAAAAACAGCCCATTTTGAGGGCCCGAAAACCATCGGGAGCCTTAGGGCAGATACCCACATGTTACCCACCACTTACTCTAGGGGTTGATTCCCCATTACTTTCAACCATCTTTCTTTTCAATAACCGGATCTGTTCCTGGGTTTTGGATTTCCTGAAAAGATTCGGATCCCGGGAAAGAATGGAAATGGAAGGTAGCCCTATGTCAGGCCTTGGGTAAGCAGCCACTACTTGTCTCACTTCCGCTGTGGATTGGCCAGAAAAAGTCTGATTTTTTTTTGGGGGGGGGGTGTGGCTTTCCCACGGTTGCAACCTCCGCTGAAAGTGTTCCCGGGAGGAGTTCCCGGGGATGGCCAACCTCTTTGATGGCCACGCGGGCCTTTCGGCACGGAAATCATCCTGGCGGACGGCGGATTTTGGGCGGAAGGAGTTCTTCCATTTGCTTAATAACTTTTTGTTTCCCTTGTTGGTTTTAAAGGGAATCTATCACTTCTGGAAATATTCCGATTCTTTTCCAGAGGGCTTAATTAAGCAAATGGATGATTTGGGGCTTCGCTTTCAACAGGAATCTGTGCCCAAAGGCAATGGTCCTTTTGCTCTGACCTTAAACGGGTCCTTTATTGGAGACAATGGAAAAGTCATTACACGATTCATGCGGGTCACTACTTCAGTGAGAAGGAATTTTGCTACCTTTGGACTGTCAGAGTTACAGCCGCCTCCAGTTTTGATCCATGTTTCGAGGTCCTGGGCTTCTTGGCGAGTTGCCCAAGGTGTGAACTCACCTTTGGCGACTTCGAGAAGTCGAACCATATGGTGCACCACCCATTTTAGAACCTTTTCTAGTGGCTGGATTGGTTGATGTTCACGGGCTATCCGATTTTATGGCCATATTCCCCTAGGTCCCCCAGTGGTGCCCTTCTCTCCCCTTTTTTGTGGGAGGGTTCCCCTGCTAAAATGGACTACAGCAACAAGAAATTGTACCCTTATTCTAGCCTCTCAAATCTGGAGGACCTAGTCCCATAGCTTGAAGAGGTCGATTTTTTCACACTCCACGGGACCCATCGGAGTGGGACCCATCTCTAGGGGGGCCTTTTGGCTTTGCCTTCGTTTTGGATTCGGAGGTCCATCCCTGACATGTCATCTCTGATGTTCTTTCACCAGCTCGAAGTTGATCAGCTTCATAGCAGGGTCCCTCTGATCTTCATACATTCAGCCATTGACTGGCGGCCTTTCTATCTTTAAAATCCCTGCTGTCCTGTTTGCAGGGTTCCCTATTTGGTTCTTTTCAACATTACCTTTTAAGTGCCGATGTGCTTTTGCTTTTATTGAAAGGGGGCATATGGGGCACCCCTACTAAAACTCGGGAAGATGCGGGGAAACGTCCTCAAACAACGTGTAAATGTGAATTCCTCCTGCAGATAGGACCACTTGCCCACCAACACGTGCTGTAAGGCCAGTCTGAAACTCCAGGTTCCCTCTGCACAGCCCCAAAAATGGGCCGCTGACCACAGCGTTGGACCCCTTCAGACCGGCTTCTGTGGCACGACTCTTAGGGAACTTCAAACAAAGCAAAACCACCCCCGAGCAGGTTGGCACCATGGGACAAAAAAGCAGCAAACCACGCGAGGTGTTGCGGTACTTGGATGTTCGGCCAAGTTAAGCGGTTAGCCTCCTAAGAACAAGGCGAACCCCACTTGTGGTTGCTTTTTAGTGGGTTAAGGTTACGGTTGCAACTTGCCGGCTTTGCAAACGACCACCCAAGTACCCAAGTACTCAAGAAACTGTGGAAAAGAACGGGGAATCGATCAGCCAACTTGCAGGTTCTCAATTTGTTTTTCTGGAAATGAGCCCAGAAGCCATGAACTTCTTGCTCCTGAGCTTTTTGGTGCAACCTGCACCCGGGCCCCAACAACCGTTCTTTTCTCCCCATGTCCAAAATCCCGACTTTCCAAAAAGCAGTGGTTCAGCGGTTGGGTACTGCCCTGGGGTTTGCAACCCCAAAGACGGCAGTGACCCTATTGGTTTCCCCTTGAAAAGCAAAAGAGGGTACCCCCAAAAAGCACACCCGCAAATACCACCACTTCCATTTGTGTCTCAGACTATGTCTTATTTTTCCCTGGCATTTAAGCAAATCTATCACTGGACATACTGTGGATGGACGAAATCCATTTCGCGCCGCCTAAGACACCCTGGATTCGAGCCCCCCGTAAATACCGTAACATACAATGGTTTCAACCATGGATCCCAACTGGTGCGAACGGACCATTCAGAGTATGGTCTGCTTTGGCATACAGTTTTCTATCCTCGAAATATGCAGGTCTGTCTTTTTTCAGGAAGCCCCCAAGACGGGTGGGTTTCCTTTGGTTTCCCTTTAGCCAGAAAAGGGTGGCCTCAAAAAAGGGGCACAGCTTGAAGACTCTGAACCTGTCCTGTCAGCTGCCCAAGATGGAACCTTGGTAAATGACAACATGGACTAAAACCCGCGGTCCCCAAGTGTTTCAATCATAGGTGTCCTTTTTGGTTTGTTTGCTTAGAACATCTAGGGCCCTGGTTTACCTGGTGGTTCAATCATCTACCAGGGCCATCTATTTTCCAAAAAGGACACCTATGGGTTCAATTTTGACAGTCTGGCATCTGCTCGCCAGTTGTGTCCAGTTGCCTTCGGCAAGTTCTCAGACCCGGGCCCTTGGTTCCACTTTTGTTCGGGAAGGGCGGCGCCTTAAATTTCAACCCAACCCAACCCAAAAACGGATGCCTTCTTCTTTTTCTCATGGAAATCCGCTTGGCGGTAGGGACAAAAAGCAACGGCTGCTTTTTTTTTCCGTGCAGAGGCTCCTGGGGCTTTCAATGGAAGACCCGACCCCTCCATTAGACACCCCGGAGGTGTTCGGGGGTCTCAAAACCCGGCTGTTTGAGGGCGCTAAACTGATCGAATCGGAGCGTCTGGGCATGGACACAATAATTAAACTAGACCACGGTTGGCCCGAAAGCAGAACATCGCAAGCAAGGTCGGCCCAACGCTGCAGGATGCGTTCTTTTTCCCTACACTTCGTGAAGCAAGCGCGAGACAGCACCATGCAAGGTGCTCTGCGCAAACTGGTCGGTGCAAGTTGGTCTGCGCAAGTTGCTCTACGCAAGTTGCACTGTGCAAGTTGCTCTGCGCAAGTTGCTCCGCGCAAGTTGCTCCGGCAAGTTGGTCCCTGCAAGTTGCTCTGTGCAAATTGCGCTCCCTGCAAGTTGCTCTGTGCAAGCTGCTCTGTGCAAGTTGCTCTGTGCAAGTTGCTCTGCGTAAGTTGCTCTGCGCAAGTTGCTCTAGGCAAGGCGCTCTGCGCAAACTGGTCGGTGCAAGTTGGTCTGCGCAAGTTGCTCTGTGCAACTTGCTCTGCGCAAGTTGCTCTGCGCAAGTTGCTCTGCGCAAGTTGCTCTAGGCAAGGCGCTCTGCGCAAACTGGTCGGTGCAAGTTGGTCTGCGCAAGTTGCTCTGTGCAACTTGCTCTGCGCAAGTTGCTCTGCGCAAGTTGCTGTAAAATGCAAGTTGCATCTTGCGACGCCCGCCCGCGGACCAGGGAGGAATCGAACCCGCGACCCGCCGGTTCCGGGAGCAGTCGCGCGAACCACGAGACAACTCCCGAAGACCAGTTCGAACAACAAAAGTCGCAAAAACCTCGAGTTTTTGCACCTCCGCCACGCCGATTCCCGCAGAGGGTTGCGCGACACAAGCATGTTAGAAAACGCAAAAAACCATTTGAAACCATGTTAGACATTCTTCAGGCCCGATTCCCCAGAGGCTTCATTTGGAGTGGAGAAATCGCAAATTACACCAGCAGAGACCCCAAACAGTTGAGGGCTGACGGGCGAGCACAAACATGCCAACAGCTTGTGGCTTTCTGCGCTTCAACACGGATGAATCAAAATGATGCAGTCGTGAACCTGGCGCGCGTTGCGTTGCTGCACGTGTGTTGCTGGCGTGCTTCGCGCTTCAGCACCGCGCCAGAACTGAGGTTGGGCAAGCGCGCGCGATGGCGGGCGAGCGCGCGCGCGTGAACGCAAGTGTGGCCGCGCAAGCACGCAGTCACATGGGCAGTTCAAACACACATGTCCAATTCAGACACACATGTGTGTACACGTGGAACACACATACGTATACGACTGAAACAGTATACATTCACCTGCGGCACACGCATAAATGAGTTGAGCTGGAAAACAAACATGTGCTTCTTGGAAAGCACACACACACATGTGCAAACGTGGAACGCACATATGTGTTCACTTACGACACGCTAATGCGTTCACGTGGAACACACATGTGTGTTCACTTGGAACACAATGAAACGCGTGTCCAATTCAGACACACATGTGTGTACACGTGGAACACACATGCGTTCACCTGGAACACAAAGACGCGCAATTAAAGCACACATGTGTGTACGCGTGGGACACACATATGTATACCACTGGAACACAAACATGTGTCCACCTGGAACACCGCGTGTGCGATTAAAGCACACATGTGTGTACATGTGGAACACACATATGCGCACACGTGAGCAAACATAAATGCTCACCTAAATCGCACACACATGCGCGCACCTCGAAAACAATCATGCGTTTTCTGGAGCGCATACATGTGCACACCTGGAGAGCAAATATGTCGTCAGATGCCAAAAAAAGTTCACCTAGCACATACTAATGTGTTCACGTGAAACACACATCTGTTCACCTGGAACACAAACACGTGTCCAATTGGAACACACATGTGCGTACACGTGGAACACACATATGTGCACACGTGAACACGCATATGTGCACACGTGAACACTCACATATATGTGCACCCGGAACACACACCCGTGTGCTCATCTGATAACAACCATGTGTTCTCCTGGAACACAAACACGTGTCCAATTGGAACACGCATGTGTGTACACGTGAACACACATATGTGTACACGTGGGAGACGCAAATGCGCACACGTGAACACACACACATGTGCACACGTGGAACACACACATGTGTACTGCACATGTGAACACACACATTTATGCGCGCGCGGAAAACACAGACACACACGAGTGTTCATCTGATAACAAACACGTGGTCTCCTGGAACACAACCGTGTGTCTAATTGGAACACAACCGTGTGTACACGTGAACACACATATGTGTACACGTGAACACACACACATATTTATATATATATATATGCGCACCCGGAACACACACACACACGTGCGTTCATCTGAAAACAAACATGTATTCACCTGAAACACAAACACGTGTCCAATTGGAACAAACATGTGTGGACACATGAACTCACAAATGTGTACATGTGGAACACACATATGTGTGCAAATGAACACACATACATGCGCACGCGG